CAGGTTGACCTGGCGCAAGGTTTCTGGAAGATGTCCAGGGTTATGTGGCAACCAGGAGAGCCTCTATCAAAAGGCACAATTGCCAGCACTGTGACCTCTCTCGACTTGTGAATCGATCCCTGCCAGGACCTTGCTCCATCTGCAGGACCGCAGTAGTCTGACGTGGGTCTAAATCCAGGGAAATCTGCTAACCAGACTCCAAGGAGGAACTCTTTTGACTTTAGGAGTTACATAGTTCAGTCAGATTTCTTTGTTTCCTCATTCAGCTCTTAGCAAGAACCTGTTTACAATTATTAAAGCAGAGTGTTGACAAAAATGTTCAGTTGTAGGTATGCTAAGCTATTCAGTGAGTGCTTGCTGTGAAGAGCTGAAGAAGGCGCTCTACTGAATTGCAGGGAATAAAATTGCAGATGTAATTCAAAGTCAATAGAGGCAAAGCAATGGGGAAAATGTCCCTAAGAGACCACAGAACGATGGGCTCCAAACAAGCCTCTGGAGCACAGCCTGGAGTCATAGCAGACTGCTCAGTGAAATGTTGGATGTCTGCCCTGGGAAAAACTGGTGGAATGCCAGGAATTATTGGGAAAAGAATAGGGGACTAAGCAGGAAACGTTTGCCCTTACACAAATTGTGTTGCATCAGCATCTGGAAAAGTAGTGGAAAGGACAGCAAGGACGTCTAAGACATAGAACAACGAAGGGACAAAATACATATGTCAAGCAGTTACTCAGCAAGATTCAACATCTTTCAGTGTATATAAGCTCTATCAGAGTATCCAAATCTGTCAGATGCTCAGGTGTTAGGAGTAGCTCTGAGTTGCATTTGTTACTAATTCTGCCTGTAATGGTATTGCAGTGTTTTGAATTGGTAGTGTTGGACTCATTTGATGATGAGATGTGGATGTCTACCTCTGACATCTCTTCGTAATCAGTGAACAGAAACTAGCACTTCTGGGGAAACAATCTGTCTCATTCTAATGTAGATGTCTAAAATACATCAGAGAAATTGCATCTGAATAGAGTTTACCTCCCCTCATCAGCTATGAAAGGAGGCTAGATTTTAGTGTCCAGAGTCTAGTGCAGATTTCTCATGCCAGATGAGACAACTCGCACCACAAATGACGATTGTCATCATCAGAGTGGATTGCTGCAGTACATCTGGCTACAATTCATGTTTGGATGAGATTAATTTGCCCTTAACCTATGTGTATTAAATTAAAATATCTGTAACTGAGTTATTTGCGTAAGGCTCCAGTTCTGCTGGCAGAACGGGAAGCATCTCTGCAAGCATCTCTAAGAGGGCAAGTTAGCTTATCCTGAAATAAACTTTGGAGATTGTTTCAGATGCCAAAGTAAGGCAAGATAAATAAATGCAAAATAAAGAAGAAGAAAGTGATACTTATGGTGCTTAGTGCTAGGAAATAAGATGGGAGCTCTATAGTACTCAGTCCAAAAGTGCTGTAGCCAGCCATTTGCATAATCTGATATCACATCTCCGCTTTCAAAAGCGTGGTACCTGAAGTGAACTTTAAGGCTGATAATCATCCCGCTAGCTACAATTTCCAGGTATTGGTATGCTACCTAGAGTTCAAAGTTTGTTTGTTTTCTTAGTCTTCCATAGCCCTGTGGTCTCTAGCACATTTTTCTCTCCCTGGACATGTCGTGTAGCACATATTTTTGGGGTAGATTCAGGCTGAGATTGTAATTATCCTACATACTTGTGGTCTGGCCTGGTATTATCCCTCACAATACTGTCATGTGCTGGGCATTGACAACATACTTAAAAAGCTATTTTTTACGTGATATAACTAGCACATTGGGTAGTTTTCTTGTAGCATTAAGGAAAACTTGCCAACGCTTTCAGCACAAGAGTTCCCAGAAGTTTGTTTATGTAGCAGGGGGGGCTGCCTCGTGTAGGCCAGCAGTCTGAACTGCATGTTCTTTACAGGTCCTTCTTCGCTGTATGGGAAGAATAGGTTGAAGTAAACGATCTGCAGAATATCGCAGCATCACAAATAATGGCACGGTGTAATCCTTTCACCTCATTTCAGCTTCCCATTCCAGTCCTCGGTCATGGTTTACAAGACACCGAACTCAAGGTCCACTTGCAACTTCAGCTCCCTGGTGTCAGCCACAGCACCCCACCTTCAGACTCTCATTTCCCTTAGCAACTGTAGGAGCGTGCTCTCATCTGCTTGGCTAAGTATTGCAGTTCTCAATTGTCACTCCTCTTAACTGCTGCTTTTTAAATCGCCTCAATCCTGTGGCAGCTTATTTGTGCTCAGCAGTGCCGTATGGGACACCTGCTCTGCATTTGGTTTCCTTCCCTGGGCTGCGACTCCCTTGCTTGATTCCCTTTCAGACAAACATGCCACGGTGCTTGGAGATTACTTGATTTCTGCACTTGAAAGTGCTTCTATAGAATTATAATGGAGACCTGCTGGTTGCCAGTACGATAATGCTTTTCTCAGCTGCTTGTGCTGAGCATATTGTCTGTGCCGTCCAAAAAGTCCTACCCGGTGGAGTGCAAAGAGCAGACACTGACAAAGCTGAGTATTCACGCTTGTTAGACCCCTGAAGTCACCCCCGGGGGAAAAAATTAAATGGAGAGGATTCAAGTAAAACAGTTGAAAATGGAGAGAGGGGGAAAAAAATGGCAGTAAATAAAGGAGGCCGAGCAGAGCAGCAGGGTGTACAGACAGTTGATTAAAAGCTTACCTGCCACTTTTTTGCTTGTTCCAATTACAGAATTGGGAAATTTCCTCACAGATTCAAAGATCCAAATTCTTTATTTTGGGGATCCAAATCCCCGTTTCTGTGCCTGATGGACGAAAGTGGGTAGCAGTCGTTAGTACTGTGCTAGCCTCATCAGTGACCTGCAAAAGTTATCTTGTGTCTGTCAAGGAGCTACAGGCTCTGCAGGGTCAGTTCTATAAAACCCCTAAAGTCTGTATCTGTCCCCATTTTTTCTTATGTGTTTTCATGTGTTTTTTTTCTTGTAACACCCTGATAGCTGGTTTATTTTTTCAGGCTTGCCATTTCAGATTACAAACCCTAGGTACTCTCTGGAAGACCCCGTTTCCCAGGCACCTATTTTAGGATGGATGGGATTAATCACTCTCTAGAGCAACACTTTGTTAAGTGATGTAGAAGCACGTGGCCGCCTCCTCCAGCCGCCAGGCCCCGGACCCTCCTGCCCGGCCACTGGAGCCCAGCCTGCGGACCCGGGGTCTCTGCCCATGCTGGGGGAGATGGCTGGCATTTTCCCACGTGCAGGTTCAACCAGTAGCAAAGCTGAGCATGTATCCCAGAGACACACACACACAATTAATAGCCCTTCAATTAGTGTGAGTGGTGAAGTTTGTTTCTTGACATTGTCTCCATGTTTGCTTTGTCAGGTCTGTGTCTCTGTGTATTTTGTTTCTGGTTTCCCCCTTTTTCCCATAGTTTCTCAATTGACAAGGTCCCCGATGAGACAACCTGGCTGGAATAGACATTCCCACATTCCCACGTGCCCTCATCAGTGAGTGTGACTGACCAGGTTTGGTTCCCATCACTGCCTCCCTTATCATTTTCATCAGGTTTGTGTCCCTGTATATTCTTGTTCATGGCTTCCTCCTTTTCTTATTATCCCTTGTTGCATTGAAAAAGGTCCTTGACCAGATACCTTTAAAGGAGCAGGCGCTCTCCTGCCACACAGCCTTACACCATCTTTCTCTGTCTCTAGAGGCAGCCTAGGTGGTTCTTACAGTCCAGACACCAAACTTTTGGATGGCTGAAGTTAAGTTGGATGAATCCAACCCTGTGTGCCTGAAGTACTTCATTTAGTAGATTCTCATGCTACTAAAGGCTCCTTTCATCGGCAATGATCTCAGGCATTTCTGGAGCTTGTCATTTAGTGACTACTTTGGGACCTGACCTTTAAAGGAGGTAAAAGTCATTTTTGCACCTAACCAGATGTTGCTGAGCTCTCTGTGGGAAAGAGAGGTACAGTGGTTATGAGTTAACTTCTTCATGCTTTGCTTATGTGGATTGCATGAACAAGGTATAGTTTCTAGGGCTTCAGAGCAACAGGCATGGATGTTTCTCTGCTTTCCTATCTGTAGTCTGTAAACCCAGAGAGCACGTCCCCAAAAAGTTCTGGGCTGAAAATGTCCACTCAGCCTGTGTGCCACACTCCAGAGTGTATGTTATTTCACAGCCTACTTTGATCTCCTTTTTAACTATCAGATGCCTCTGGTAACTGCTTGTTTGGGGATAGGTATCTTTGCATTTCCTCTTGTGCTCTAGCAGGACATGTGGTGGCTGTTTCTCCCCCTGCTTTCTTAAAAGCAAATTTGGAAAGTTTGCATATGGGACAGAAGGTAACCACTCAGGTTCTCCCAAGAATAGTCCTGCTCCTAGCCCTTGAGAAGCAAACTTGAAGAAGATACTGCATTTCCAGACCTGATGCAGAGTAGACATACGGTCATCTCGAGCTTTGCCTTCTGAGCAGTGGAAGGAAAGCGGATCAATGCAGGGAGATTTGAGCATGCAAAACTAGACAACACTGCAGTGTTATGACTAATGGTGCCATGTAAAATCTACAGTTCATGATGAATGGTAAATTCTAGTGTATTATCATTTGTTTTCTGAGCTGGTGACCTTGCCTACTTGATGACCTCCGTGCAGGCAGGGAACTTCTTCCGACGTGTGATCAGGATGTACCATTGCAGAAGTAGTCCAGAAACATCCTGGGTGCTGGGGCTCTGTGTTCAGGAAAGCTGGTATTTCTGCACTTTTTGTATCTGCTTTTTAGGGTTTGCTGAGCTGTTGAAGTAGTCTTCAGCAAAATACTTTTTCTAGTGGCAATGCATAGATTTCAGTCAGTGCCCACCAGGACTGCTGACTCATGCTCTCTTGACTTTGTGGTTTGTGGAGGTATTTTGGAAAACTTGATTCTGAAATGCCTGGCAAAGCTGCATGAATTTATTGACATACTTGTTTTTCCTCTACATACAGACCCTAATATGGTCAATGCAGGAGACATGAATGGTTCTGGCAACCTGATGGATTTTCTGGATGAGCCTTTCCCCGACGTTGGGACTTACGAAGATTTCCACACCATCGACTGGCTGCGGGAGAAATCACGCGACACTGACCGCCATAGAAAGGTAAAGATGTCTGGCTTTGATGCATCGCAGTCCCTGGGTTACAGCCATCCTGGCGGTGAGAAAAACAAGCAGTTTTCCAAAGTTATAGCTTCCTACCTTGTTGTATGACTTGAGGAGGACTTCTAAAAATATGGATGTGATATGTCTTGAGTTTATAAATATGAAAGGGTTTCCAGCAACTTAATGAGCAGAGCACCTCTAAAAAATGATTTGGACTGGGGGGAGTAGAGAAATTGTATACGCTTTCTAGGAGGTTAAATATTTTTTGTTTTAAACATTATACACTAAAACTGTGTCAGCCTGAATCAGCAACATATCTATATATATGTTTAATTTCAGATTACAAGTAAAAGTAAGGAATCCATATGGGAGTTCATCAAGAGCTTGCTGGATGCCTGGTCAGGATGGGTTGTAATGCTTCTCATAGGATTACTGGCAGGTATGTGTGTGTTAGCGTTATACAGTTGTGCCCGGAACCATCTCACTCAAGTTTGCTGCAGTGCCATCTGCTTCTCTTTTTACTTCATTGTCTCTCCACTGATGTTTCAAGCTGAAAAGACAACTATGCATCCATGCAGCTATAATGCTTAATAAAAATAGCCACTTGCAAAAAGTCTCCTGCTGAGTGCTGACCTAGAAAAAATGTTATTCACCAGTAGAGGGATTTTTCTATTGCTTTTGGAAATACATCTGAGCGCTCTACGCTCGATGGACGGCTTCGACTTTCTGAATCTTTGATTCAGAGAAGTCAATTTTATTGGTAGGATTTTTTTTTTTCTTGTCTTCACTTACTTTAATTCTGCAAGTAGATATTATGATATGGGGAAAATGTTGGTTGTGGACACTCAAAGGGGAGCTTTGTAAATTGCTATATCCACTGGGTTATCTTCTTTATATATGTGTGAAGGGAAAATGCAGTTTCAGACTCAGTTTCAGATCTGCTTCCAGGCCAGACAGACATTACATATTTAACAGCCTGCTCAAACTCAGATGGCAAATTCATTAATTTCTCAAATTGCTCCTGTATTCTGCTCAGTTAAGCACATCTTCCAACTTGGAAAGCTGCACTTCTATTACCAAGTTGAAACAGCTACCATTTTTTATGCTTTTTCAGTGATGTCAGGGTGCTCTTGTATCATGCTGCTTGGTAAAAGCATGAATGATGTAAAGTTTCACAATTTCCAAATGGTGTGAATTTCCTGCTTACCAACTGTCAAGTTAATGTGCTTATTACAGTTTGTTCAGAAGCCTCAGAAGTACTGGGGAAGTTCTTGAGAAAATGTTGCTGAAGTGACAATTTTGGCAAATTGTTATTTCATAGAGGTATACTGTTTCCACAAAAGCTCTGATGGGAGAGTGAAAAGGGAAAGAGAGTATGATAGACTGTGTACTACCAGGGCTGCTGAACCCTGTCTGAAGGCCAGGGTTGGCCTCATCTGGGAAGGAGAATTCTGCTTGCAAATAAAGTTAGAGCAAGCCCTTGGGGGCTCTAGTGACCTCCCACAAGCTGGTCAATAATCCCCTCACTCATACAGAGAATGTGATATACACTCACTCACTCCCATGTCAGTAAAAATATCCCAGTAGGCTTGTTTCAGTTCCAGTTTGCAATGAACCTCATTCTGAAATCCTCAAGGTTATCCAAAGCTGCAGTTGCTGACCTCTGATATGCTCTAATGCTGGTACGTCCACCTTGGGAACAGAGGTGGAGGATAAGCTGCAGCTGAGATGTGTTAGCTTTTGCAACCTTTTCAATGACAAGGGTGCAGAGCAACATGTTTTACCTCAGAGTCAAATCAAATTAGTCTGGTTCTAAATTGGGGCAAGGACTTGTGAACCAGCTGGAGAACAAAAATTACCTGCGTGCTCATGATTTGGGCTGGACTCTGTAGACTTTTTCTGCCTGCCGTTGAAATGACACATGCTCTGTGCCTCCAGTGTTTCTGGGACAGGGCAAAGATCAAGAGTCACCATCTCAGCGTCAGCGAGGGGTCAACATCCCTTTGACAAGCGGGGGGATTATTGTTGAGTGGATGAGGTTTCTTAACCATGTTTGGGGAGGGAGGAGGTGAGGTTGGTGGTGCAGTCAAGAGGCGCTTCACGTCATTTCCCTCTCTACTTGAAATATTGCCTGCTCAGAGAAGCTGGCCTGCCACGAGGGCACCTTCATGATCACACAGGGTTGTGTGGACCAACCTGGCTCCTCCATGGTCCCTCTTCCCCTGCTGAACAGGCAGAAGCCACTGCTGCTCCAAGGGGAGCAGCCTGGCTCAGCTGCACGGACACTGGGCAAGCTTTTGGGCAGCTGAGTCCAGGCATTACCAGAGGCAAGGAGAGAGGGTGGCGTGGAGTGGGAGAGGAGGGGGAAAGCAGCAGGAGTAGTATCCAGGTGTGAAGGTCTTGTGGAGCACCCTGCCCTTGCTGCCCCCTTGCTGGGGATGGAGGACAGCAAGGTGGGACTCCTGAGGAAGGGGATGGCAGGGGCCTCCACGTGTTTCCAAAGGCACTTGGAAGAGTTACTCAGGCCCAGGAGTTTACAGTGAGCTTAACTGATCTAGAAGCCTAAATACCACCGATTTGGTCAACTGAATCTTTCAGGTTTTGCAACACTTCAAAGGCTGCACCTCCACAGCCAACACAAACTGACATGGCCAAAAGTAGTAACCTCTGCCCTCCGGCATCCCTGCCATCAGGCCCTGTTGCTCTGTGCATGTGCAGCTGCACAGGGGGGTTGGATCCGGGAACTGGCCTGGCGGAAAAAATGGGTTTTGACCAGATTAGTTTTCAGTTGATCTGTGGGCTCAGCAGGGTTGGTTACCACAGGGCCGCAAGCAATCAAAATATTGCTGACAGAAAGGAGCTGATGGAGGGAGGAAGGAGAGGACCATCCCATTTGGAAGTAGCCCTCATTCATGTCATTTTTGGAGTGTCATTGGACCCACATCCTTCATTAGTCCCAGAAAAACATAGGTGGGAAAGGGACCTCTGGAGGGGGTCTGCTCTGGCTTTCTGCTCACAGCAGAGCCAGCTTCAGAGTTAGAGCTGTATGTTTTGAGTAACACCAAAGTATATTAAGAATGTAACAGCAGCCATTTGGGATCAGACCAAAGTTTCACAAACGAGTGTGCACACGTACATTAGCCTGAGCGGAGCCCCTCACTGTCGCCACAGTCTGACATGTAACACCCATAAATGCTGTTTGGTGTGGAGATCAGATGAAAACTGCCCACAAGATGCTCCAGACAAAGATAGTGAGTACTACCTGGGACTGTCTCAGTCAGAAAGTTTGCACACTTTCTGGAGAAACACAAAGCAATGTATGGGGAAATGAGCCTAAAAATTTTAGGTGCTAGCGCCAAATTTTTAGGCACTTGTTTTTAAGGAATTCTGAGTTTTTACTTTGCCCATCCTGCCTGCAAACCAGTGGCTGTCCCTCAACCTAACCATTACTAGCCAACTGAAGGTATATACTATTTATAGAAGATCACCGAACGAGCCTGTGTTTTCTAAAGCTATGTGACAAAAAGTACTATTGTACTAATACTGAAATGCTCCCGTACTGGAGCTGGATGTGCAAAAATCCCCTTTGTAATTCAGTGTCACGCCACTTGGGTGATACTGTTTTCTGGCACCGGTGCCTTGGAAAAAATATGTTTTCAAAGCAAATTTTTAGCATTCTCATTAGGGCATTGTAAAGGATGAGTATTGGCAATCATCAAACAAAGGAAAAGGAGAGAGGTAAAAGGCTAATATCTAAAATGAAGTTCAACATTTCCTTGCTTTGGAGTGCTTCATTATTTTTCATTCTGGGCAGGAGGTTACACAGAAGAGGGAACAAGTTCAGTTCCTTTGATGGAGAAGTAGGGAAATAAACTTATGCTATATTGCAGAGGTGCAGTGACGTGTCTAGACAGCCACGGTAAGCACCAGAAATGAAAGGCTTGACTTGCTGAGATGCTGAACACTCTGCAACTTCCATTAATTTCACTTAAAGTTGCAGAGATTCAGAACTTGGAAAAATTCTAGCCCTGGTCACTTGGCTTGTGAAGGATTAACTATGGCACTGTCATGCTGCAAGATTTTCTCCTCTGTAAAGCATGTAGCATTTTCCTCTTTATGTGGATCCCAAAGCATTTGGCGAAAGGGATTTTTTTTCTAGAGGTACCTTTTCCTAGAGGCACTGTGGTGCATGTGAGCTTGTTATATTAGCGAACTGAGTGTTTGTTCCTCACTCTGTTTATTAACTTTATTGGGGAACAACATTCAAAAGCCTGCCTTCCTTTGCACCTTCTGCTAGGTAGCATTAATACTCAATTGGCTGATTAAGTGTGATTTGAGCTTTGAAGATTGGGATAACTGCAGAGGACGATAAAGGTCCATCAAGAGATGCAAGAGGCATCAGCATTTGGTGCTCATGGCCAAGGGCTGAGGATTCTTTGTACTATTTCCTAAATGAAACTATAAAGTTTCATTTCAGAAAATTGGTGGAGAATTTAGAGTTTACTGCAAAACTCGGTAAGCTATGCATGCTGACGTTAGTAGCAACGCAGTGATTTATCATCATCTAAGCATATGGTTCATTGTTTCCATAGAAACTTGGGAAAATGGAAAAGAGTAAGCAAGAGAAAGCCAAGGTCTTCATGAAAGAAAATAATTGGTACAGACATCACTACTCCCTGCTGCAGCCTTTTTTTGTGATCTTGTCTAGTGTATCTGTATATTTCTTCAGATTACCCCTATACAACAAAAATTCTTCACTGCTACCCAAGTCACGTCACTTGTCAGTGTGGTGACAAGTGTCCTGCTTAAGGGAGTGAGAAGATAGATTTATGTGTAAGGCTCTGTGAACACTTGTGGGGTTTTTCTGTTCTGTGGAATAAAAAACAGGCTACATATGCCTGGATTATTTGAAATGTTGTTTTTTTTTCTTCTTCTTTCACAGAAATGAAAAGCAGAAAACTTTAGTTCCAGGTCAAATAAACTGGCTCTTGAACCCACCTGTGTGCCCCAGCTGCTAGGGGAAAGGGGAGCAGCCCCCACCCCTGCTTCATGTAATTGCATTCTTAGCAGGAGCCACATAGCTAAAAGTTTTGGAAACATAAAACCAAACCATTTTTCATTTTCCAAAATGTTTTTTCAGTGTTTTAGTCCTACTGAAATGCACCGATGAATTCTGTTCAAATTCATTACCGGTTTCCTGAAATTGTGTTAATGATTACCAATAAAAATGTAGCTGACTTCTACTTTCCGTTGTACGTGAGTGGGGTTTGGTAAACACTAAATGACTTTTCTGTCAGTTGGTGGTTTAACGCTTTCCAGAAACTACGGACATAGGGAGCGAAGGCAGGTCTGCCTTTCTGTGTTCTGGCTGCTCCCAGCCTCCCCGTTCCTGCTGGCGTTGCGTTCACCAGGACATATCTGCTCCGAGGGTGCCGGTGCTGGGGCGGGTTATTCTCGCTGATGAGCAAATGCCCTAGAAAAGCAGGATTTTTGGTTAAACATTGGAAGAGGCTGCCCAGGGAAGTGGTTGAATCCCCATCCCTGGAGGTATTTAAAAGACGAGTAGACGAGGCGCTTAGGGACATGGTTTAGTGGGCATGGTGGTGTTGGGT